GAAAAGAGCGAAACTTCATCTTAAAAAAAACCTTGTCCTTGCTGTATCCACCAATTATAAACCAATATATCATAATCATTACCCAATTCTCATCAAGCCCTCATATTTAAAAACCCATCTTAAACCAGGCATCAAAAACCTCGTAAATAGCCCAACTTCACCCTCCCTTTCCAAGATGCTATTAAAACTTTGTCAAGGTAGAGAGCTCCCTTACCATGTTAAGCCACAAATTTAGCTTTGCCTTATCAATTAGTTACTTAGGTGGTGTTTTGAAAGCCTTCTTGGATGGATGTCTTCCTTCTTAGTTTGATGATTACAGTGTATGAGAGATGAGCATGTGTGTATAATTTTATTCTTAATAAGAAAGGCTGAGGCTGGGCACAGTGGCTCACACCTGTAATACCAGTACTTTGAGATGGCAAGGTGGGAGGATCACTTGAGTTTAGGACTTCTAGACTAGCACAGGCAACATAGGGAGACCCTGTCTCCACAAAAAATAAAAAATAAAAAAATAGCCAGGTGTGGTGGCATATGCTTGTAGTCCCAGCTACTTGGCAGGCCAAGATAGGAGGATCACTTGGGTTGGGGAGGTCAAGGCTGTAGTAAGCCAAGATGGCACTACTGCACTCCAGCCTGGGAGGCAGAGGGAGACAGAAAAACTCTGTCAAAAAAAAAAAGAAAAAGAAAGATTTGTAGGTTTGTGTATCTACTGCTAAAAGGACTGCTGTTTTCTCTATCACTACATTCATGTCTTACCCAATTGAACTTCCCTTTAGCTGTCTTCTTAATGTTGTGTTATCCATGCACCTGCCTTCTGTTCTTCTGGTATGCAATGAAAGATCTCAGGCTTGCCACATATCTAAAAGACAACCTTGAATCTATGGCCACCAGGCAAAAATTCATTAAAGATGATTGTGAGCCTCCAAAGGCCCTTTGTACTAATTCTCAAATTTCTCCTTGGTCACACTGATGACCCTTGTTCCAGGGGTCGTACCAGTTTATAGCCAACTTGGCCAGTCAGTGTTTATGCCACAAGAACTATTATACCATTATAGAGATGGTTTCCCAAACAGCTTCTTAGTCCCTGAGGTCAAAGACGCCTGTGTTTCCCACAGATGAAAAACGTACCAAAGTATTATTTGAATGACTGCCCCCAGATCTAAGGAATCTCAGTGATGCGGTTTCATTGTTGTTTCCTGTTTCTTACATTTAAACTCCCTTTATCCTCATATCCACCAACTCCCAAAGTTGCTGGGTTTACAGATGTACCTTTGCAATCTAATGCAACGTTGGGACTCACAAAACAAGACCCCACAACGAAAGCCTCAGAAGCAGCCTGAGAAACAAAAGTTTTTCTCTGACCTTCTCCTGCCCTCTATCTCTCAGTCCCATTCCCCACCAGGCTAGCCACAGCAACTAGCATCCCTCTTCCCTGAAGCAGGTCATAGACACCAAAACCCCTTTTCCGCAAAGCCAGCCAAAAACCTAAAACTATTATTCTAACTTTCCCTCTGCCTTTCTGTGTAAAAACTGGTCACCAAGAAGTTATCCAACCTACCTTTTTTTGGCTATGGTCATAAGATCCCCATTCCAGAGAGTGTCCTGCCTCATACCCAGAAGAAGGGAATGCATGCTCAGGGAGGCCAAGAAGATTCTCGACAGAAAGGACTTGCTGAGTTTTCCTCACTCAGTCTATTAGCCTTAGATTACACTCTTTTGTCCAATCACATTTGGACAAAATATACGGACACAACTGTCCATACTTTGTTGAACCTAGGCAAAAGAATAGATAGATCCCTCTGTATCTTCAGGTCTTCACTCTGAGGGCCCCCATGTACACATTAATTTGTACGCCTTTTCTCCAATTAATCTGCCTCTTGTCCATGATTTTCAGTGAACATTCACAGAGCAAAGAGGAAGGTTTTCCCTTGGTCCTGATAGCATACAGCAGCAAAGACCAGCAAGACTGGCTTTTAATCTTTTTATGTTCATAGAGACTCTAATGTGAGGATTTTTAATTATAAAATGATCATTGATCACCAAAGCTATCCTGCACTTTTAAAATGAAGAATAGTTTTAGAAATATAGCAATGAAGCATGTAAAACAAAAGCAACAATGTGATGATAAAGCAAAAATAAAGGTTGGCATCACTGCTGGGATAAGAATGGCACAGAATACTGATTATTTAAATGAGACCAAAAAAAGAATTAAAGGTGATATATACCATGAGCATTTTTCTTATACTTTGTCTTATGCCTAGATTTTTTGTTTGTTTGTTTGTTTACTTTTTTTAAGTTAGTTTCACTCACATTCTGAAATGGTCTAAGAAGAGGCCACAATGAAAATATAAAAGAATCATGGAGAGAATAACAGATCATAGTTGCACTTTCTACTATGCTTTTCTAACTGTTCATTTATATTTTGCATGATTTCTCCTAAGAAAAATGGAAAACCATTTTAGAAAAAGACCAAAAAGAATGAGATTTTTAGTAGTCTAACCCACTTGATAGAGAACTACTGTGAGGACAGTAGTGAGCCCAAGCCCTTTATTGGATACTCCTCATTAAAAAATTTAATGTTTCACACACACACATATATATACACACACATATATATATACACACACACATAAACTTTATACATGTTCTGTTATACTGTGTAATTTATAAAATATATAAGGTATACAAAATAGAAATTTTTAAATGCTGAAATTAAAAATACAGAAATGAAAGCTCTAATTTTTTTTTAATCCAAAAGATTTTCCTACACTCCCTGGGATGAATTCTAGGCTGGACTACAGATTTTCAAGATTTTCCTTGCATCCTTAAGAAAAGTTAGAATAAATAGAAGACTTGGACCCTTGAAGTTTAATTTACTATTTAAAAATAATTCAGGTTTAATATAGCAAGTTAGCATATACATGTTTGAATGGCTACATTTATGGTATTATGACGAAGTGCTTTCCCTTGTCTAAATAGCAGTTACGGAGAAAGAGTGCATTTGTTTGTAGTATCTTATAAATTGGACCCAGGATTGAGTTTATTTAATGAAATAAAAACTCAAAATAAGCATTAATCTAGTAGTACAAACATCTAGTATGTACTATTAGATGATCACGATTAGTTATTACTAATAATCATAAGTAGGCCTTATGCAGGCATAATAATTATCATTTTAACTAGATTACACACATCTTAAAGACAGCATCTTATAACCCTTTATTTTCCCAGTGTAGGCATAGCAAGGTGCTCACAAAAATGTTTACATTATGCCCCTTCATTGTATTTGCTCAGGCACTTGGACAACTAGCTCAAACCTGTTTCGCAACAAGTTTGATGAACCTGCTACCTGACATTTCTGTCCCTGACATGAAAACTTCCTAACATTCTTGTCCCTGATATGAAAATTTCTCTCTTAATTCACAGTCAACTTAGCTACCACAGATTGGAACGTGAGGGGCTGAAATAGGCAAGGAGACAGCGTGAGGAGGAGGTTGCCTTAGAAATAGAGGATCAGCCTCATTATGTCTATTCGCCAGAAGGAAAAAAAAAAAAAAAATCCCCAGAAAGCCTTTCATCAAGGGAGGATCTAAACTCTAACAGAGAACTGTTATCTACCGCACATGAATTTGGGGGGAAGGAGGAGAAACAGGGAGGTAATCGGTATAATTCATCCCCGAGGCTCTTTCCAGTTCCAAGACTGATTCAAAATTGGAGAGAATGGTGGAACCAATACACCAAGATTCTGAACCCCTTCCACCCTCTACACGAAGGAAGGAAGGGAAGGAAGGGAGGAAGGAAGGAAGGAAGGAAGGAAGGAAGGAAGGAAGGAAGGAAGGAAGGAAGGAAGGAAGGAAGGAAGGGAGGGAGGGAGGGAGGGAGGGGAGAAGAGGGGAGAGGGGAAGGGAGGGAGGGAAAAGATAGAAAAAGATAAACCCTGGCCCTGTATGTCACTCTCCATTTCTGAGATGACCTAGTTCTGCCAAAAGAAGAACCTAGCAGCAGAGTGTGCCAGGACGAGGTACTATTCTCCACCTGAGACCTCACAGTAGCTAGAACAAAGCATTTCCTCTTCTCCATACCGCAACCCAACCCAACTGGCCTGAAATCATTTTATAAATTCTTATATACGTCGAATCTCTGTCCTTGGCCTTGAGTAAACCCAGGAAAGAAGATGGGCCAAGAAATAGATTGGAAAAGTGGATCACGCCCCGCGGCAGCAATTTAGATGGGGGGTAACGCAGGGGAGGGCAGGCGTGGAGTCTCGAGTTTATTCTCTATGACTGGGACACAGCTGGCTTTGAATAAGAACATTAAGTATACAGCACCATATTTTGGTCTTGAGCCCAGCCTCTGGCCCGTGGCACCCGGCCATTCGTCTCCGCCAGCCAGGCCCTGGCCCTGATTGCCGCGATGCAGGGAATGCCCATCAACTTGCAGTCACACCTGTTAGGTATTTCTCCACTCAGTGCCTCCGCCCAGCAAGCGCCCCACGCACGGCCGGAGCCCCTGTGTTGAGCGGGCGCACGAGGAGGAAGAAGGGCCAGGCCTTACCAAGCAGACCCTGTGGGACTCGGTGCGGCGGGCGGGCGGGCGGGCAGGCGCATGGGGGCGGCCTGCGAAGGCGAGAGAGGTCGAGGCAGGCATTGGCAGGGCGGGGGCAGGGCCGCCGCTGCTCGCGTTACGTTCCCAGAGCCTGCGGCGGAGGCGCGGGGCTGAGCAGCGGAGGGGATGGGGCTTGCACAAGCTTCTGCATTTCCCCTCACAGCCCCGGCGCCGCCTCCCCTGACTGGGCCGCGGTGCCCGTTAGGCCGCGCAGGGTGAGAGCTAGAGCGGGCTCGGGCGGGTGGCACCTCGCCAGGGACTGGAAGGGAGGGCGCAGCGGGGCCACGGCGGGGGGATTCCGCTAGTCGGGCGGCCCGCGCGTCACCTGAGTGCACCAGCCCCCGCTGCCGCGGGACGGCGGCCGGGACGGAGCTCCCTGCGCGCCCCCTGGGGACCGGCAGCGGCCAGGAGGCGGCGCGGGGCTCGGCCGCTCGGCCCTGCAGCTCCGCGCACCCGGCAGCGGCGGCGGTGCAGCCTCGGGCGTTCGGGCAGCCTCCGAGCCCATGGCGGGGAGCGACGTGGACAGCGAGGGCCCCGCACTGAGGGGCGGCGCGGCGCGGCGTCCGGGGGCCCCGGGCGGGCCAGGAAGCGAGGCGGCAGCCGGCTGCCCCGAGCTGCTGTCCACTGCTGAAGCGCCGGCTGAGAGCGCCACGCTGCCCGCCTGGATGCGCCTCTACTTCTACGGGATGCACGGGATCACCCTGGACGTGCTGGTGTCCTCGGCCCGGCGCTTTGCCCGCAGCCCGGACCTCCGGATGCTAGGCTTCTCCTCGCCCTACAGCTGCCTGCTGCACTCGCTCACCCATTTCGCCCTGGAGAAGGTCTACCTGCAGCAGCGGCGCTGTCCCAGCGCCTTCGTCTTCAATTTCCTCCTCTACCCCTCGGCCCACGTGGGTCTGCAGACCCTAGCGGGCCAGGCGCTACTACACAGCCTGGGCGGCGGGGCAGGGGGCGCGGTGGCGCCAGGGGCGCTGGACCTGGCGCTGCAGTACGTACTGGCGCTTTACCACTGCCAAGTGTTCCTGAAGCGCTTCCTGCGCTTGCGGTACGGGCGACAGAGGCGGCGGCAGCAGCAACAGCAACAGCAGCAGCAGCAGCGGAGGGGCGCGCTCCCCGTCGCTCCGGGCGCCAGGGTCCCTACTGCGGCCGGAGCTCGGCGGCGACGACCCCGTGGCCCCAGGGGCGCCGGGGGAGCCCCCAGCCAGGGGCTGCCCGACCTACCCCGCTTTCTTTTCTTCGGAATGCACGGCTTTCTGGATGAGATCTTCTTCACCTTCTTCTTCAACGTACTGGGGCAGGGGGACGGAACAACCAGCGGCCACACGTCGCTCTGGTCCTTCTTTATGTATGGCAGCTGCAGTTTCGTGGTGGAAAAACTCTACTTCCATCTCCACTACAGCCGCGGTTGGGGCACTTGGAAGCGGGTGCCCATCTACGTGATCTTCATCTACGTGTGGGAGCTTTCCTGGGGTCTGGGACTCCGCACATGCGGGGCTTGTTCCTGGGACTATTCTCACTACCCGCTCAATTTCATGGGCCTCATCACCCTGATGTATTTACCTGGCTGGATATTCCTTAGTGTGTACCAGGACCTAATTTCCAACGTGTTGTGGAGGGTGCAGTACGTACCAAGTAACTAAAACCAAAAAAGAAAGAAAAGGAAAAAGTCATTGGATTCCCACGAATGGATGCGATTTATTTTTACACATTTAAAATGAAGTGGGTTTTTTAGTCCTTTAATTTTTATACACTTTATTAAATCTTCCAAAATGTTTTATTCCACCTTTTAGTTTTTCTATTTGAAACCCGTGTATAATATACTTTGAAACATTACTCGAAACATAATTCAAAGTACTTAATTCGCCAATGTTTTAAAACGTTTACAAGCCCAAACAGCAAAACCGTTATACCTTAACATCAGAATGGTGTAGTAGTGTTTACCCATCTGGCCATAGATGAGTGATAGCTACTAATTTTTTTTGCGGGGCGTGGGGGGAGGGAATCTTTAAATCAGAGACCAGTGATTTTTACAAGATTTGGCTAAATTTTCTGATTCAATGATTTGTTTACTTTCTTTTTAATCTAATTTCATTTTAAATCCTTGCCATATTTACCAATGACTGAAGAAACTCAATGTCTTGTACTCTTGAAACTACAGTTAATAGCTCTTAAAGTGCCTCCGTCTAGCACACAAGTGAAAAGAGGCTGAAAAATGCGAAAGCACGTTCTATGAACAGATTTTTAAATGAGATCTTTTCTAGTAACTCAGACAGGTGACACTGTGTTAAGATATTTGATCTCCATCCTGGAAATGATTGCTTTCCAATGTGGGTAAGCCTTAAACACCAGGTGTGTTAACGTTGATCAGATCCTGTGTTATCTATGGCTGTACATTTTTGTTACTGTGCAATAATGTAAAATGTTTACCTTACATAGCCAAGGGCCAAGTGAAATTAAATCACCTTCTACAGTGTTCTAACTCCAAGGACCCTTTTCTACATGGAACTTCAAGGGCAGAAACATTACCTTTGAATAAAATGAACCTGAATGTTCACTTTAATTACATTAAGCCTAATTGTTTCCTGTGAATACAGATATGTTTTCAGCATATTTCTGCCATGGCTCTTTTTCCTTCTGGGCCCAGAGTCCTTGGGCCACGCTTGATGTGGTAATGTGCATTATAAATCAGTCGTAGCTTTGTGGTGACTTACTATTAATGTCTGCAAGCTCTGAAGTTAAATGAGATGATGTAAACCATTTTAAGAAATCATGCCTAATTAATAATGTATTTTGATGTTGTTTGCTGTTTTATTACATTTATAAAAGAGTAGAATTCAATGCAGCTAAGCCAGGGATGATGAATATCCTCTCAGTTTTTATTACAAAGACAATCAGGAAAATTTCATGTATAGAAATGAGTGACTTTCTATTCAAATTATCAGCTAGCCTATGCTGTAAAAAGGGACTTTTTTCTGTTTTTAAAAAATGTTTGCTACAGGAGTAGAAAATAATATGTATTTACATTTGATTAAGTTAGAATAGTTATGAGTGTTATATATTTTAAACCACTATCTGAGGTTGTAAGCTAAATTAGGAGTAATGCTATATAATCAACCTCACCTGTGAAATGGACCATGCAAAACATTATTTTAGCCAAAATACTTTACTCAAAGCTAAATAGAAACTGAAATATAAGCTAACTGTTTGCAGAGAGTTTCACTTAAGAAAAGTTCTCTGTGACACTTGGTCACGGATCAAAGATTTATGAAAACCCTGTATAGAAAAAAGTATAAGCATAGTCACTCAAGTTAGGGAGCTGCTGAACAGAATATTTGTAATTCAAATGTGACACATGAATCCGAGTTAAGTGTGACATCACACCAGCGAATACTTCACCAAATCCGAGATTTCTGAAATACTTGCTAAATGTACACATTTGCACTGTGCCCTTCAAATGCTGCTCTCCAGCCCTTCTTACTCACCTAACAGCATTCTTAGGGTCAGAAATCCATCAAGGAAGTTGGAAAGCATGGTGTTTTGTGTTGCTTTTTAATGTTAATCCTATTTAAAGGAAAAGTCAAGGTTTTCATTCATTCAGTTCACTCAAGAGATAGTTACTGAGCCTCCACTATTTGCTAGGCACTTGCCTTAACTCTGTGGATATAGCTGTGAACCAACACAGACAAAATCTCTGTCCTTGGGATGCTTACGTACTAGTGCTTTGATTTATATAAGATTATACTTATTTGCAATAGGCTACGAGAGGCAATTTTTATGAAGACTGTCATCAGGCTTTCTCTGTGGATATAGCTGTGAACCAACACAGACAAAATCTCTGTCCTTGGGATGCTTACGTACTAGTGCTTTGATTTATATAAGATTATACTTATTTGCAATAGGCTATGAGAGGCAATTTTTATGAAGGCTGTCATCAGGCCTGTTCCTGGAAAATCGATCCCTCTATCTAAAACAAAAACCTGTTAGCAGTCTCTCTGCTAGTTCTACAAAGAGCGAGCTAGTTCTTGTATATTCAGGAAGTGATTAGCCTGTCTATTAACTTAGCACCTTGCTTTAGGGCTTCTCATTCTGTGTTTACTCAGCTTCTTAAATGTGACATTTTGCTGCAACCTTTGATCCTTTAAGGAAAAACCAGAGAAAAGAAGGAACCATCAGATTATTCAATTATGTTACTAATTAATAATTCAAATACAGAAATGAGACGGTGTTATGATGATGGTTAATATCTAATTAGCGCTTACCACGTACAAGGAACTCTTCTAAGGGGGGTGTGTGTGTGTGTGTCTGTGTGTGTGTAAAGAAATATGTAAATATATATATGTATATATCTTAGGGGAATATATATATTCATATATATCTTAGGGGAATACATATATTCATATATATATATCAAGGGAATAGATATATATTTTATTTGTTTATATATATATCATGCATATCGCAATATATATACATATGTGTACATATATTCACTTAAACCTCTAACAGCCCTCCTTTTACAAATGAAGACAAGAAAACTCAAACCCAAATAACTTAAGTAACTGCCCAAGTCATACAGCTACTGATCGTTTAGATTTGAATCCGCATATACTGGACTCCAGGGTCCATTCTTAACATCAATACTGTCATGCCTTGATCTACTGACCACAATGGACCTTCTATGGAGTTCATTTTACAATCCATATTGCTCTTCCCCTCCACTATTATAGATGCAAGAGTAGCTGCATAAAAGCCAGGCAATAGTAGCAAATAGTGGCAAAAAGTGGCAAAAACACTTTCACGCTGCCTTTTTATTCCATGGTATTAAGTAACAAGGGAGCTCATAACAGGATGCATAGCTGACATCAGCCTAGTTCTTATCCCAAGATAATGTATCTTTATATTTCAGTGATGCTCTGAAATACAGTACCTTGCTTGAATTCAGATAATCTTGAGTTTATAAGAATAAGGCCAGGCACAGTGGCTGACATCTGCAATCCCAACACTTTGGGAACCCAGGGCAGGAGAATCACTTGAGACCAAGAGTTCGAGACCAAATGACAACAGAGCAAGCCCTCATCTCTACAAAAAATTAGCAAATGATTTAGCCAGATGTGGTGCCACATGCCTGTAATCCTAGATACTTCAGAGGCTGAGGCAGGAGAATCACTTAAGCCTAAGAGGACAGGACTGCAGTGAGCTATGATCACACCACTGCATTCTAGCCTGGATAGAGCAAGACCCTGTCTCTAAAATCAAAATAATATGCCAAAATGCAAGATACTTCATATCACAAGCTAGGAAAAATATATATAATTATTACTACACATTTAATATAGCACTCAGAATAAATGTCATTGTAAGAGCTAAGCAGCCAAAAATTAAAACTAAATCTTTAGAGATATTTATTCTGAGTTCTAGTAAATACCTCAGAGTCTAAGAATTTATTAATAGAAATACATAAAACAAATGTCATTTATTTTTTTCTCCATGTTTAACTTATGCAATGCTGAAATGTCTTAGTAGAAGCGCTTTAAATTTTAAATCAGTTCTATTTGAGCTCTGAATCTAAAAAGGAATGTAACCTTTTGAGTTTTTCTTGTTAACAGTAAATACAGAAGTTCCTGTATCACACAAGGACTCCAATAAGATCGATCATCCATTGCAACATTTCCAACATTTTAATGATTCAGTGTACTTAACTATAAATACTTTATTATAAATATTTAATATTTCATGCTTCAGCTCAGCACAACACAGGTTAGAAAAATATAACCTGTCTTTCATTGTTTAAGAAACGTTGGATAATCCTACCCCTTTGAATAAAAAAAAAGTCTACTCTTGAAATAGTCTCCGTTGGCATGATGGACTTGGTTCTGTTTAAAAAAGATGGTGAATGAGAATTTGGATAGACTACTTTGGTTTGTTTCCTACTTCCAAAACACATAAAAAAATCAATATACTTGGAAAGGAAGTTATACTCACAATACAGTTAGAGTGATAAATAAGTAATTGTATTGTAGTATCTTAAAGCATTTTAATAAAATCAATTTTCCTTATATTAAAAGGCATTAAAATCTTTTACCTTTTATGTTAATTTTAAATATACTGTCTTAAACAATAGTAAATGGAGCTAAGCTCCTTTACTGAAGGAAAGTAAGAAGAGAGGATATAGTTCCCACACCCCTGTGCATCAAACACATGCTCAGCTTATAATGAAGTGAAAGATGACAGCAAAAGATGATTCTGTTACATTACCAGGGTATTTTTAGTTTTTTTCCTATTCTTAGGCTTGGTACTGGAGGACCTAACAAAGATAGCAATTGTCTGTGTGGACCTCTATTCACTAGAACTAGCCTCATTCTAATTTTTAACGTTGAGGCCTCAAGCCAGCCACCAGCAGCTCAAATTGTAAATTAACCTGTGATATGGATAGAGAAATTTTTTATTGGAGACTTTTTCTCTTTTAATGTAAAGAAAACATAGAGAATGGTTTCCTTAATTTCTTAATTATCTTTGCAAAAATCGTCAAGCAAATTACCAGACATCTGACAGAGAAACATGGATCCTTAACACGCAGAAATGTTTAATTTTCATCTTACCTCTTAAAAATTCTATAAAATGCAAAAGTCTCGTGAACCAACTTTCCCAACTAAAAAGAAAAATAAATAATATGTCTTTACCATGATTAAGGAAAATCAAATGTTGAAAGAAATTGTGAAAGTTAGTAACATCCAGCCTTCCACCCAAGGCAAGAATTTACACCTCTGAAAGATGGTTTCTCAGCTCAGCTTGTGCTACTCAAGAAAGCATTAATTGTGTTTTTCACACAAAGACTAAATGGGAGGAAAGCTGTTGGCAGCTGGTTGATAAACCCCACTTTCAGTGAAGTAAGAAGGCTTCCAAAGTTTTTCGGAGCTAATATATGCTATTCATCCTGATTACTTATTACAATGAAACTTTTCTTAAGGAACGTTTTTCTCTTCATTAAAAAAACAAAATTAGGCCAAGCGTACCGGCTCATGCCTGTAATTCCAACAATTTGGGAAGCTAAGATGGAAGGATCTCTTGAGACCAGAAGTTTGAGTCCAGCCTGAGCAACATAAAGAGACACAATCTGCACAAAAAAATCAAAAATTAGCGAGGCTTGGTGGCATATGCCTGTAGTTCCAGCTACTCAGGAGGCTTAAGTGGGAGGATTCCTTGAGCACAGAAGGTTAAGGCTACAGTGAGCTATGATGGACTCCAGCCTGGGTGACAGAGCGAGACCCTGTATCAAAAAAAAAAAAAAAAAAAAAAAAAATCAGTGTTTCATTCTTTTGTCATGATACTTATGATCTCTTTTTTTTTTTATTGTACCTTTTCAAATGATGCTTCATTCATGGAGTCTAAGCAGCAAGTCTTTGAGAGCTTTTAGGGTAATTACATTACTTCAGAAAATAAAAAATACATTGATTGCAGGTTTAGAAGACTAAATTCTAGACACTCTGCTTAAGTCGTTGGAATCTCAACCTGGTTCAAGCCAAGAAAAGCCTTTGGCGAACTGCTCTGGTCAACCTACAGAACAT